CTCTAAATCATTCCACCAGTTTGCAGATAATGACCCTTTGTAGTATCTCTTACTATAAAGAAACTAGAACTTGGTCGCAAATAAGAAACATCAATGAAATAATAACAATTTCTTGGTAATACCATTCATTTTCATTTACAAAAAGAGAAATCATAAAAGAAAGAAGTCAGTATTCCAACTCTGTTTAGTTACTGATGAAAGCAGAATATATTTCGCTCCAGTAATAATATTTAAATAACCTTTACAGGACAGGACAACCGATTCAGAATACGAAAGAGATACATCATTATTTCATTAAATAAACTTCGTCTTCTGGTAAACTTGACCATTCCAAAATTGCTGAAATAACCCTTAAATGACTAGATTTGCTTCATTGTATCAATTCAGTGGTTATAACGGTAATATATAGTCCGATATATGGCTTTATACCAGCAGTCCATCATCCAACCGCGAAGTAAAGCGCAGGGTTGTTTAAGGACAATTTAATCTGTTTTTATTTTGAACTTTGAGAGTACAATATTCTATTTTTGGACAGAGGCAGAATAAAATGCTTTTTATCACTTTTTTGAGTCACTTTTGTTAATTTTAATCTAATTTCAGTATAGCAGATGAGGCAGGACCTCGCTCAAATAATATGAAGTGGTCCACAATATTTCTAAAGGAGGCATTGGAAAAATTCACGTACGTCAAAGCATACAATTTTTCTTTTTTTTTAAGTATCAGTTTGAATTTAATTGAGAGTCATACGTTGGTAATTTACTGTACAAATATTTTCTTTATTTGGATCACTTTTTATTGAGGGTTTGTTTTTTCTTGGTTAGTTTTGAAGAATATCTTTAGAACGGGGTAAATAATAAATTAAATTAATAGATAGTACTTTAGGGTACTAATATATGATTTTTTCATTTCAAAACCAATCATAAACTACAATTTATTTAAATATCTCTTCCGTTAAAAATTGTCTTTTTAAGACTTTTATCTTCTTCAGCACTATTTAAATGTATTCATAATAGCACAAGTTATAAGGTGTTCAAAAATACAGTTTTTAAGCTATTGTATAGCTTTTATTACGGGCTTTGAGTGTAGTGACCGAATCAAGAAATTCCGTAACGAAAATAAACCTAACACCCCACACTCCTACAAGCACAGCGGTGCGGCGTTGAAAGCCGTGCATCGCCTAACGTCGTTTTAGTTCGGCAGACTTCGGCACGGTATAGCTTTACCGCGGCAGTCCCCAAGTGTCACATGTATTTTTTTTTAATATAAAATATTAATTTTATGGGATATCTGGGTAGATGTATCTCAAACAATTAGCTTAACTATCCAGAAGAAGGATATAAGATGCCGTTTACAAAATATATGTACTGGTATATACAGTATAATACTGAGTATATACAGGATAATACTGAGTATATACAGGGTAGAAACCACATGTCAACTTGAAAATCAAGATATCAGAAGGGATACAGCCTATGAATATTTATTTTTATGTTTAAAATACCAGATATGTAATGGGGCCCTTGGGTGAAGGTGTCTGTTTCTAAGCAGGGAATACTTAGGTAAGAATCGAAGTAAACTGTAATTATGATCCTTTTTAAATCCAATTAACTATCTAGAACAATTCTTAGTAGATATCGATAACTCAGAAATTAAAACTATAAGAAATTACAAATCTGCCATGTGGATCTCATAAACTCCTTAAGAAGAATGTTAGATTTAACCTTACTCAGGTATTTTCTGTTTCAGAACTTAGTTTAATTGATTCACTCCTTAAATTACCTATTATTGAATTAATTAAGTAAGAAGTGAGATAGATATCTCTTTGTGTGGAGAGAAAAAGAAAGATAGAAAGTTTTCATTAGATAATCTGTACCAAATAGACTTTTAAGTTACCCCAAGAATCATTTCATAAAAGTTTTATTGCACAAGAATGATTGACACATATTAGATATTATCCTTTTCATATATCTAATAATTTAACCCATTTTTTAAATAATAAATATGAAATTAATATTATATAACAAATTAACTTATTTAGGTAATAAAAATATTTACATTTTGAAAGCTTACATCATACTTCTATATTGTATTCATACTTTTATATCAATCGTCTCAGGAAAATACATTAATACAATCGGGTACCATATTAAAAGTAAAAACAAGTACTAAGAAGCATATATTATAAAAGACTTCAACTCCGAAAGTTCAACTAGTTTCAAGTAAAATAAATTTATCTTCACGAAAATTCTCTTTTGCTAAATATTAAGTAATTATTAAGATATAAATAATGGTACTTATTGTAAGAGCGCTATAATCCTATAACAAATCCTGCGCCAGAAGACGAATTAGTACTCCCATGTATAACGTTCTTGTACAGTGAAATCACGGTGACATTAAGAGTAGGAACAGAACAAGATTTTGGCTACAATTTTGGTGAATTTAAATAATATCATTAAAACTTTTGATTCCATCTCTATGCAAATATATAAAATACTCTCAAAATAAAAAAAAACTGGAGTAAATTGCCCTTAAAACAACCCTGCGCTCAACTTCGCGGTTGGATGATGGACTGCTGGTATAAAGCCATTTATAGAACTATAACCACTGAATTGAAACAATGAGACAAACCTAGTTATTTGAGGGTTATTTCAGCAATTTTTGTATGCAAAATTTACCAGAAGACAGAGTTCATTTAATAAAATAATGATGTATATCTTTCGTCTCCTGAATCAGTTGTCCTATAATGTAAAGTTAATTTAAATATTATTACCGGAGCGAAAGATATAGCGTTTTTGTCAGTACCTAAACAAATCTTGAATACCGAATTCTTTATTTCGTGAATTCTTTCTCTAGAAAGTTAGTTTCTTTGCAATAAAAGACGCTTAAAAAGGTTAGTAAAGGTTCGTAATTACTACAAACGTTTCTGAATTAAAAACAAGAAGAGTTACTCCTTCTTGCACTATCTACTGTGCCCCTAGTGCAAAAATACTGTGATACTCTAAAAATAGCATTTTTTCTTGTAATTTAAATATAAGTATAGGTCTAGAAAAGAAAGGGAGCCCAGTAATTAAATTTGCGGAACGTAGTAAGTACCTACAGGTTCAAGAGGTAGACATTTTATTTATACTTCATTCTTGAATGCTTATTTGTAGTTAAAATGGCCTTATTTAATTTATAGAAACCCATTTTGCAAAGGAATGTTTACTGTGTGTTACTAATGAAATCATATTCATAGTTACCTATGGATTACTTACTCGATAAATCTTAAAAATTATATACAATTTGTTGTTAAACTAGTTTTATAAAAATAATGTTAGTTTAAACTGTTTTTTTTTTTCATTGTTGTAACTATTATAAGAATTAGTAATATTTCTTGCATTGTAAAAATACTTTTCAATGGAATTTTAAATAATGTAAAATAGCATATATACTTTTACACTAAAGCATATACACTTTTTATACTATCACACAAATAACTATTGTGGATGACTCCATATATTGGTAAGGCATTGCTTTATTTGCCACAACAAATTAAATAAAAATTTAAAAAACTGACTCAGACAAGTCAAAAAGTAAAAGAAAAGTATAGAAAATATATTTTCTTATTTATCACCGAAACCATAATTTGTAAGAAAAAATTACCGAAAACCGAAAACAAATGAAGTGTTTTCCTAATAAAAATCCACTAAAAGTTCGGTTTGGATCACTTTATTTCGCGTAAACTACATCATTTGAAACGAAATAATCCAGTCAGTTAATGGGGTTTCCCACTGGCATAGCGTAGCTATCCCCCAACACCAATGTTTAGGCATCTGCGTATTGATCTTTTTGATAATTTCCCGCATCGAAGAAAATTTCGTTTATTACTCTTAACAGGAAATAAAATACGTTGACATTGATGGTTACTGAAAGCCTATACTACACTGGGAAAAAGTAATTTCCTCAGGCTCTCAAGTACATATTCAGTTGTATAAAGTTTCAGAAGAATAATCTGTTTTGTATTTGTTTGCGTCTGTATACATATAAAGTGATGTTATTTTTTTTAGAACTTTAACTGCTAAAGTAATAGCTCTTGTGGTGTTATTTTTGTCATTGGCATCAACTACTAAGATTATTAGCTTCGTGTTCTGTCTAGGCGTTGTTACTGTTTCCCAGCGCCAATGTAGGAACATCACTGTTAGGTGTTAGGTATACTTAATGAAAAAATGAAAGAGAAATTGAGATATCATTGAAAAATCAATTTCTTTTTAAACATTTATCACCCTGTGTCTTAAAAACAAAGCAATTTAGAGCACAAGTTTATATGAAATTAATTTTAGTCAAGGAAATACCTCCTTGATTGTTGAAATAACAGTTAAGACATGTTATTTTATTAGAATTAGGTATTATTGTTTCATAATTTTTGTTTTTACTTTAATGCGAGAAACGCTGTAAGATATTATTAACGAGTAAATAAATGAATAAATCAAATAGGCTAATAATGACGTTACTTTAAAGTTTTACATGTAGGTAAATTTGTCGGCCATTTCACCTTCAGATAAAGTGTCAGTACCACGCAGATAACTTAAAAAGTCAAGTTTTCACTTCTAGATAAAACTGACCGGCAGATAAATTGGTCTTATCTAAAAGATTACTTATCTGACCAACAACGCTTCTTATAAATCATTTAACTGATCTATATATGACATATTATATGATACTGAAGTCAACATATTATTAGTTAATTGCCATATGTACAGTTTATTAAATATTATGAAAGTTGTTGAAGATATTAATGTATCACTTAATAATGACTTTAATTATAATTTAAGGGAATATAAAATGAATTGATTACTTTAATTTATAGACGCGCGGAATCATTCTATAAAGACAGAAACTTAATTATCTGTCAATTAGAAACTCTCGATTATATCTGCTAGCTACAAAGGTTGGCAGAAACTTTAGGTGAAGGTAAAAGAGCCGATTCTTAAATATGCTTTGTTAAGTAATTTTGGGCTCACCTCAGTAAGTGTCCGTCCCTCCTCCTCGATGTCTGCCACGGCGAATCCTCGTACCTATACGCCTTTCTCATACTCATAATAGGACCACACGAACAGCTGAGCTTGTTGCCCATCGATGCTGCCGGGCACTGGCACTGGGGCGCTCCCCTTTGTCACCACATGTCGCCGAACTCGCCGGTCGCCCCCCTCGTCGAACTCCACTGGCTGCCGCCTGCGCCGCTCGCCCCCCTAACGCCCCGGTTCAGTGACTGCGATCGCTGGTGGTGATGGTGAGCCGGCTTGCCGTGTTTGTGCTGCTGGAATCGAACAGAGAAAGCGGAATCAGTTGGTGGGTAGGTGGACTGTTTTATCGCTAAATTGTATTGTATAATATCGTACATTCATTGAATTATACAGAGAGTCTCATGCCAATTAAAAGCGTCTACTAAAATCATCTACTAATAATAATAATAATCCTTCTGTATATATGTAGAAAATTCTGGTTAGACCGATTTTAATTAAATTTGTTTAATATAATAAACATAATACTAAATACGATGTAAATATCGACAAAATGCATGACGCATTTTCCTAATATGCTAATATGTCATTACGATGTAACTCGACTTAAGGAGTCGAGTTCTGCCGAGCGAATATAGCAGCGAAGCATAGACTATCGCTGTCTCGCTGCGCTCATCTTTATCTCTCTCTGGCTTGACTGAAATCGACTGAAGCTAAATTTACCCAAGAAAAAAATTATGCAAGACGCGCCAAAAGAACTTGTCACTTCAAAAACAAACACATTGAATATAAATAGAAAAAAAATATGATAAAACAGATAATCTTATGATTCGGTTGGGCTTTTCGAATAGTTTCCTAATTACTAAATCATAGTTATATTTCTAGATATACTTTTTAAATATATTAGTGTGGCAAGTCAAATATTTTTTTAAAAAATCCCACCAACCTGACAAAATTTTTAAAAATTTACTATGCTTGGAACACCCTCTATACATAGTTGAACGCACCCCTGTTCTATAGTGGTACGAGTTTACCCGCTGGCACATCGCTCCAGGACAAGATGATGCGACAATTTGAAAGCATAATTCCATAAACATAATTCGTCAAACTATATTACAACTGCTGACATATGCAATGTTATATCCCTGACAAGATATGATAAAGCGCCGTTTTCAACTATTAAAATAATAAAGTATAATAATAAATTTATATTGATAATTTTTAAAAATGTAAATTTCATCTTTTAGAAAAAATTTTATTCTTCATAAACGGTTTTGCTTGTTTCAAAACTAATAATAATCAAACAGAAGTTGAATATCTCTTTCATTTAATTTTTCGAAAGGGTTGCTCCCCTCCAGTAAGGGATGAAATTAATGGTAAACTATTCATACAAAAATGTACATTGTAGAAATCAAAAATTGAAGTGTCTTGGTGATTTTCCTACTAAGACTCCAGTAACGAGTACATTTAAATTTGCTGGAGATACTCCAAAAAATACTTTTAAAATAAATTATATCCAAAGATATCATCTCTAAAAACAATGCTAAATCATGGAATAAAGGGCGGTTATTTTATTATTGAAACAAAACTAAATTTTACTCCTCCTAAAATATAGATTGTCCTAAATATTCGAAAAAAATACATATTTTCAAAGATCCTATCCATATAGTGTAAAAAAAATCATTTACTAATTTCTCAAAAAAATAGAAGCTTGGCCAGCTTTATTATTTTTTAAAAATATTCTAAAACTAAAATAAAATATAGGATGTTCCATTTAAACATTTTAATTATTTATTTTCCATGTAAAAGCGTATAATGAAAAATATTTTTAAAGTATGCCTTTTTCAAAACCATACAACTTCAATTCAAAACTTGTTTGTGTATCTATAACAAAAATAGAAATATTGAGGAATTACGTACTAATGGGAGACATTCTGTATGAAAATAGCTTTTATTAGTCACAATTATTTTTTAAATAGCAATATGGTGAAAAGATAAAATGGACTGCATTTTTAAACATATTATTCAATTCTTTAATAACATTTCTAAACATTTTTTGATATTTTTAAAGATAAAAGCACATTGAACAAATATCGTAGTTTAGTTTTTGTAATTTCCGTAGTTTTTCAATTATGAAACAAATTTATTATTGCATTTTCTATTGTAGATATTGGACTAACTTTAATCAAGAACAAATTTTTGGGTTGCCGTTAAGACAAGATCTATTAAAAAAAAAATTTATAATAAACTCTATATGAGTAATGGTAATTATTGAGCCTCCTTGTAATAATATACTCTTTTAATACAGTTTACATTTCAAAATTGTAAAATAAAAATAATAACAAAGTTTTCCATGTAAGTAAGGTTTGTCAAAAATAAAGGTACTTTACTCTTCATATTTTGTGACAAACCTTGTATACAGCTTAAAAAAATTGATATATGATTGTTGTTTTAAGTTTTAGAAAATTCAGAACTCCATATGAGGAATAATTTTTTTTTAATTATTAATAAAAAAGTTTTCAACATTGTTCCAACTTAGTGGGACATATTGTATAAATTCTAAAATTGTTAATTAAAAAAAATGATTAGGTACAAATTTTCCATATAAGTATTGCAAACTTATCGGGTCAACCTGTAATAATGTATTTATTATGGCAGTTTATTTAAATTTCGAAATGGTTTAAAAAAAATTGTTTTTCATACAAGTAATGCAAAATTATTGGGATACTTTGTAATAATATATTTTTTATAAATAGAAAAATAGTTTTCCATATAAGTTATTGCATCATTCTGTAAACATATATTTTTTTGCAATTTTTTAAATTCCAAAATTGTTAAATAAAAAAAATATAAAGTCCTCTATATGAGTAGTTCAAACTTATTGCGTCACCCTGTAATAATATTTTTAATGCAATTTAATTGTTATATTAAAAAAAATTGTAATAGTTTTCCATGTACCTATTATTGCAAATCTATTGGGTCACTCTGTAATATTATATATTTTTATTAGTTTATATAGATTCCAAAATTGTTAAATAAAAAAAAAATAAGTTTTCTATATAAGTAGTGTAATCTTAATGGGCCAACCTATATTACATTTTTTTAATTTAATTTATCTAAATTCCAAAATTGTTAAATAAAAAAATGAGTTTTGTAGTGCAAACTTGAGTCACCCGTAATATTATATTTTTTTAATAACAATTTATCTGAATCCGAAAATTGTTAAATAAAAAAAATGGTACAAAGTTTTCCATATAAAACTTTTTGGGTCACCCTGTAATAAAGTATTTTTTTTTTAATTCAATTTATCTAAACTTCAAAAATGTTAAATTAAAAAAAATTGTAATAGTTTTCCATGTACCTAATAATTGCAAATCTATTGAGTCACTCTGTAATATTATATATTTTATTAGTTTATATAAATTCCGAAATTGTTAAATAAAAAAAATAAGTTTTCTATATAAGTAGTGTTATCTTAATGGGCCACCCTACAATATTATATTTTTTTAATTAAATTTATTTAAATTCCAAAATTGTTGAATAAAAAAATGAGTTTTGTAGTGCAAACTTGGTTCACTCTGTAATAATATATTTTTTTAATACAGTTTATACACCAAATTTTTTAAAAAATAATAAAGTTTGACATATAAGTAGAGCAAATTTATTGTTTCGCCCTGTAATAGCATTTTTTAATACAATTTTTTTAAATTCCAAAATAGTTAAGGTAAAAATAATACAAATTTTCATATGAGTAGTGCAAACTTACTGAGCCACTCTATAATAACTTTTTAAATAAAAAAAATAGTTTTCCGTATAAGTAGTGCAAAATTATTGTATCGTCCTATAATGATATATTTTTTTATACAATTTTTATAAATTCCAAAATTGTAAAATAAATATAAGTAGTGCAGTCTTAATAGATCACCTTGTAATAATATATTTTTTTAATCAATTTATCTAAATTTCAAAATTGATAAATAAAAAAAAATAAAGCTTGACATATAAGTAGAGCAAATTTATTGTGTCACCCTGTAATAGTATTTTTTAATACAATTTTTTTTTTAAATTTCAAAATTGTTAAGATAAAAATAATACAAATTTTCATGTAAGTAGTGCAAACCTATTGGATCGTCCTGTAATTAAATATTTTGTTAAACAATTTATCGAAATCCCAAAATTGTTATAATATAAAAAAATAAAAAAGTTTTCCTTATTAGTAGTGCAAACTTATTGGATCACCTTGTAGTAATATAGTAGAATAAGTCAATTTTTATAAATTCCGAAATTGTTAAATAAAAAAAATAAAGTTTGACATAAAAGTAGAGCAAATTTATTGTGTCACCCTGTAATATTATTTTTCAAAACAATTTATTTAAATTCCAGAACTGTTGGGATAATAATAATACAAATTTTCATATAAGTAGTGCAAACCTATTGGATCGTCCTGTAATTAAATATTTTGTTAAACAATTTACCGAAATTCCATAATTGTTATAATATAAAAAAATAAAAAAGTTTTCCTTACTAGTAGTGCAAACTTATTGGATCACCTTGTAGTAATATAGTAGAATAAGTTAATTTTTTTTAATTCCAAAACTGTTAGGATAATAATAATACAAATTTTCATATAAGTAGTGCAAACCTATTGGATCGTCCTGTAATTAAATATTTTGTTATACAATTTATCGAAATTCCAAAGTTGTTATAATATAAAAAAATAAAAAAGTTTTCCTTACTAGTAGTGCAAACTTATTGGATCACCCTGTAGTAATATAGTAGATTAAAACAATTTTAATAAATTCAGAAATTGTTAAATAAGTAGAGCAAATTTATTGTTTCACCCTGTAAAAGCATTATTTAATACAATTTTTTTAAATTCCAAAATTGTTAAGGTAAAAATAATACAAATTTTGATATGAGTAGTGCAAACTTACTGGGCCACCCTGTAATAACTTTTTCCGTATAAGTAGTGCAAAATTATTTTATCGTCCTGTAGTGATATATTTTTTTATACAATTTATCTAAATTCCAAAATTGTAAAATAAAAAAAAATAAAGTTTTGTGTATAAGTAGTGCAGTCTTAATGGATCACCCTGTAATAATATATTTTTTTATTTCAATTTATTAAATTTCAAAATTGATAAATAAAAAAATAAAGCTTGACATATAAGTAGAGCAAATTTATTGTGCCGCCCTGTAATAGGATTTTTCAAAATTGTTAAATAAAAAAAATAAAGTTAGACATATAATTATAGCAAATTTATTGTGTCACCCTGTATTAGTATTTTTTTAATACAA